TGAAGGCTTTGATTCGGATAAGGATTCTTATCTGTGTGCTAGGTCGACTGGAATAGAGAGTCGTAAGCTATTAAAATGTTAGTTAAACTTAACAATAAAGATTTATTCACAGGTTTCGTAGAATACTGAAGAAAGAAAAAAATCCCTGTGCTGTTGTGGGAGATTTTATAGCTATTTAACGAAAGACGTGGGGTTCGCTTCTTAGTAGTTCTATTTTTAGGTTGTTTACTACTGGGGTACCACATTCTATAGGTAGAATTTTATTCAACCTGAGGGGGAGCTTAATAAACCAATGTTTAAAAATATATTTTGAACTGTCACATGGCTCATAGGCAGTGTTTTCTCTTTAACAAAATTTTCACTTTGAATTCATAAACTGTTAAGCACAGGTCTCCTTGGACTAGAGAATTTTACTGATAAAGGTTTTTATGGCTAAAACTAGTCTTAATCTATTTAACCCTAGACACCTAACGTTCGCCTATACCCCTTAAACCCTAACCATACGTCGCTTCGATGTATTAAAAATAAATGGCATATTTTGCCATTTATTTTTTCAACTGTAATATTATGTTTATGTTAAAATTAATAAATGTCTGAAACAGTTATTAATCAATGAAATAAAAAAAGATTTTTTGTTTTTTTAACAAACCATATTTATTTTATATTCGTTTTAGTAAGGCACTAGGTTTTATGAGATCAAATCAGACTATAATACTTTGACACTTAAAATTATGAAACTATATAACAAAATCAGCCTTTTTCTTTGGCAACATAAAATAAAAGAACTACTAGTCTTCCGAAAATTATAAAAAAAACTAATTATTAGTAGCGCATTTTATGCAAAAATCAACCTTATGTTCACCACAAATTGCAGTGTCACATTTTTTGCAATATGACTTGGTCATTCGCCTTTTCTTGTAAGAACATAGACCGCATACTTTTCTTTTCCTGTTCAATGCAGATTCAACATCATTGCTGGAGGATGGATGACCTTGAGTTTCACCTTCATCGTTTTTAACACCTAATATATGCGTGATTTTATCCTTTATGTGCGTCGGCATGGTCCTTATTTGCAGCCGGATTTTCAGCCAGGGTTCTACAAGTTGTGAATGCAACTTCTTCATAAAATCACGCCGAGGTATCACTTTTATACCCTGGACGGAGGCATTGTGGCAATAAATTATGTAGCTGTTTATACACGAGATATTCATCATGCCATAAAAAATACACATTGGCCATCGATTGGTTTTTCTGCAGCACGACATTACAGAGCACATTTGATCAAACGTGTCTACACCGCCTTTTGTTTTATTGTAAAATTCAATCATGTGTGGTTTCTTTGTTTCGGGATTTACTGAGCCCTCTTCGTCACAAGATGAAAGCATATAAACCATTTTCGAAGGTTTTGGTTTGTATGACAGTAGTGTAAGGGGACCATCATAAACAAACATAGATGTATCAACCTTCCTGGGTACATAAGGATTGTTGGATTGACTTTGATTTCTGTTTTTCTTTTCTTTCTTCTTGTCCTTCATTTCATCTGGGATTTCCCTTTTATTAGCCCGCAATGTGCCCACAAGTGTCAATTTATAAGGCTGCTGAAGTAGTTTTTTCGCCAGAGGTACTGAAGTAAACCAGTTATCCATGGTAACGTTTCTGTTCGAGCCGTGTATACTGTGAGTGAGTTCCTTCACGAAGTACTCTCCCAAAGGTAAACCACCGGTATTAGTACTTTTACCTAGATATGGTATACTGTTGATCATATATCTTGTGCCACTGTCACACATCATCTCCAACTTAATTCCGTATTTGGCCGGTTTATTAGGGATATACATACGGAATTTACACCTTCCGCGGAATGCCAACAGTTGCTCATCAACCGTAACATTTGTCCCAGGAACGTAATTTTGTCTGCATTGTGTCATTAGCATTTCCCATATATTCCTTATTGGTGTAAAAGGATCTTCTTTCAGCAGTTGTAGTCGAAATGCTTTGTCATCAAAGCGTAAACATCTCAGAAGGAAATCGCAGCTCTCCTTGCTCATGCAGGCTAAATACCTCGTACCAGAATATTCAGTGTTGAACAATTCATCAAGGGTGAGATGATTATCTTTCAGAGCCGCGGTTAATACCATCACACCTAAAAGAGCTCTGATCTCTTCTTTGCTCGTATCATTTTGCGTTGATGTATATTTCTCATAATTTTGTTTCTTTATACGAATTTCCGCATTTGTCCACTTCACGATTTCTTCAAGCATCCGGCCAGTCATAAAATGTTCAAATAGCTCTAGTGGATCCACTATAGCCTTCAATTCGCGAGCTGGTCCTCTAGCTACATGTACAATATTTATGGCAGCGGTTCTGCCAGAAGTCCGTCCTTTGGTGGTCGCCCAAACATGACGCGCCCGACTGCGCACAGAGCTTTGGGAAAAGGTCAAAATACAAGATGATTGTTGTGATGGAATTGAGGGTGTATTCTGTACTAATCCATTATCTTCTTCAGCTTGAGAAAGAGGTACCTGGATGTCTTCGTCACTGGAACTGGAGGAGTCAGATCTTACTGGCTGATAATCACTTTCGACATCATCCACTTCCACATTATCTTCCGTTTCGCTATCTGATAAGTTTTCCGAAGGACTGTTATTCTCTTCTTCCTCCAACAATAGGCGTGCAATACTTTCATCACTCAATAATTGTCTCGACGACATGATAAAACTGCAAGTTAAAAAAAAGCTAACTGTAAAGAAACTTACACAGACCCTAACTATTCGTCGAAATGACGACTATTTTCGTAATATTTCGAAAAATATTATACTTACACGTCGGACGCGGCTACCTCTCGGAAGAGTTCGGCGGGCACTAAGTTAACACGCGGCCAATACGCGATCGCCGCGTGCGCCGAAAAGAGAAAGCAATATTTCTGTCGCGTACTCGTCGATTCGACGAAGGTTAGGTTTCTAGGGTTAATCTATGGTACTTTTATGTGTTTTCTTACTACGTCGAAACCGCGTAGCGATTAACTAAATTTATCATTGTAATATTGATATTAAAGTTTCTCTAACTAAACTTATGTTTTTTTATGTAATAAAGGATGTAAACGAACAGACAAGCCAATTGATGGGAAGGGTCATCATCGCCCCTGGACATTTGCAACATTAGATGAGCTGCCTATACGTTGCCAGCCTTTGAGAACCCTGTAAACACGCTTTTTAAAGAACCCCATGTCATAGCACAAAGAAAATACTTCAGGAGGAATATCATTCTACATCTTGCAAGTACGAAGGAGGAACGAACGAGACGCCTGCCTGGTCTTACAATGCCAGGCACCTAAGATGTGGTTATGGACTCTACTCCTTTGGCGAGAGGTGCGATGGTAGAAACGAGCCGGTGGCACCAGTTCGAAAAGTTCCTCAGAGTACTTCCCGTTACAAAGACCGTAGAACAAACACAGAGAGCCAACGTCTCTCTGTGGGCAAGGGGGCTCCATATCGTTTGCGAGTTTGGAATCGTCGACAATACGAACAGCCCTTTTTTTTGAGAATGAAATATTTACAGATACCCCTGGACCTCGGGGGTTATGTGGGGACTCTCCCTCCAGACTGGAGGGCCTACCCCAATAAAACCCCCCCGGGTTTACCTCCCGCCGATTGAGTCGGTGCCGTGGGGTCGGTGCACATTCACCATGACGCCGCCCGGCCGCCTTTTTTTTTTTGACGGGGGGGAAATCTTTATGGATACCCCTGAGCCCAGGGAGACTCAGGGGTTATGTGGGGACTCTCCCTCCAGACTGGAGGGCCTACCCCACTAAAACCCCCCCGGGTTACTAAAACCCCCCCGGCTTGCGCCAGGGCTCCCGCACCAACGGAGGGGCAGGTCAGTTGTCCTCCAACCCGCCCTCAGACGAGTGAGGCCGTGCAATGCAGGCTCCGGAGTCCCTGTCCAGAGCCCGCTAGCTTCATTAGGGGACCAGGCGAGCAGCGAACTGGCTTCGCCTTCTCTCCGTACGTCTGCGCCGAAGCGGGTACGCGTCCGCCGCGTCCTCGCGCACCCGCTCCGCAACCTCCTATTGCGACATAAATTCTCCGCAAAAGGAGGCCACCGCCTCCCAGGACTCCTCGCTACCAAGCATGGCGGCTACCACGCCCGACAGCGAGAGGTCCTGTCCTATTGTTCCCGTCAGAGTAGGGCGCTGCTCATCCCACCGGCTGCACACCTCTAGGGTGTGCTGCACTGTGTCATCCGTAGCGCCGCACTCGTGACACGACGGGGACGGTTCCTTCCTCGCCACCTTGTGCAGGTAGTGACCGAAGCAGCCGTGCCCGGTCAACACCTGCACATGGTGGTATGACAGTGGCCCGTGGGACCGGCTCACCCACTCTACGAGGACAGGACGGATCGCCCCAATGGTACGAACTCCTTAGGGGAGATCCGCCAAGCCCTCTTTCCACCACATATGCAATACAAACAGCCCTACGTTGGATGGAGTCAAGTGGTATTCGGGAGCTCCTGCCCAGAAATGCGAGCAATACTCCATATGGGACCGTACTTGTGTTTTATATAGTCGGTGACCTGGTGAGAAGTAGTGCTTCGCACTATAGAGCACACCGAGCTTTTTCGAAGCCAGTTTGCCTTTGCTCTCCAAATGACCCCGGAACTGGACTTCGTTCATATCGACCTTACGACCAGACCGTACTACAGTCCACTATTACAGAAGTCCAACAAGGTTTTCGACTCAATCCATAAACAAAGAACTGATTTATATTCCAATAACGATATTAATTAAAAACTTACTTAGCTTACAGAGAGAATTTCAAGATTGTTCTAAAGAACGTTATACATGATTGCAACATGTCCTCTAGTAAACATGATACCGCGTGATTGGATGTTGCCAATGAAAATTCGCCAAGCCTAAGTCTAAATTCAAAAATATTCCTATCCCAGCCAATGCCGCGATTATTCCAAAATCTAACATACAAGTTATGAATATCAGAAGTGCTTACCTCAGCTGGTGGTTTTCCCCCTACGGACACGCATTCCAATTTGACATGTCTGTCTTCGATGGTAGAGAGGTAATTCCCTTGCAGTATTTTCGGCGGTTGAGGAGGCACGAGGACGGTTAGACGAGCGTATCTTGATCTGATTGCGGGTTCACCTGCGAACAAAGATTTTTGATTCTTGCTATTGTTATCAAAGCAGTAATAGTTTTGTTAAAATATTGTTTGTCTTAATCCTGAAAATTCTTGAAAAATGTCCTGCTTAATCGAATTTCACTTCGAGCTGTCAATAAAAACTTTGTAACGGAAACATACTGTTGGGTTGTTAAAAATGATGATTATTATTTTGAATAGAGCTTCGGTACTATTAGAGGTGGGCGATTGAATAAAAAGCACTTAAAAAAGTTTGCTTTTTAAAATATGCACATAAGCACGCTTTTCAATTTAAGCGTAAGCGTTGGTCAGTTCAATACTCAAAAATTAGATTTTTTACATCGTGCTTATATTTCAAGTCATCTATGTTTCCTAAACAAATTAATTAGTCAATGTGAATAATAATTTTATAAATAAAAATAAAACTCGTGTTTTACAAATAAACCCACTTAGATTAAAACCTTTAGTGGTCTACACTTGCTTTTCGCTATCAACATAACGTTGCAAGCTTTTTTAACATAAAAGTCTATGCGCAACGTTTTTTTCTAAACAATTTTGTAAGCTTCAAACTAAAAAGCGTTTAAGTGAAAAGCGTTTACAAAAGTACGATTTTTAAAAAAGCGGTTTTCCCATCTCTAGTTACTACACACGGATTTTTAATTAACGACATGAAATTGACAGCTACAAATGTCATTTAAAAAAATAGTGTTGCCACAATTATTCTAAATAAACTTTTTAGAATTTAAAAGCAGTAGAGCTCCTTGTGAAAGAGTTCGTTGAAGGAAGTATTGCCAAACATATTTCTTAAGCAGTAAGAAATATGTTTGGCAAGTGAGCATTACCATGTTTCAGTTTTGAAGTGTAAGGGTGCTGGTGGAATTATAGGCACATGGGACTTGTCAACTAATGTCTCAGGGTGATGGGCGTAGTGGCAGTGCCCCTCAGATCTTTACGATTTAAAGCTCTGCGTGGCACTGCAACTGTTATGGACAGGCGTGACGCTTACTAACCAAGCCCACGACTTGTTCGTCCTGTCACTTAGTATTAGTACCGACCGTCAACAATCCGTTGTTGTCTCCAAAATAGCAAATAATGAATTATTGGAATTCAAGTCAGTACCTAAAATCAAAATACGTGGAGTTCCACAGGGAAGTGTGATAGGACCGATTCTGTTCTTGTTGTACATAAATGATATTATAGACAGCACAAAACATCAATGTATATTATTTGCTGACGACATATCTATTATAGTAACTTTTAGTAGAAAAACAACATCAATAATACCCACACAAAATTTCTTGGAGTAACCATAGATCAAGAACTGAACTGGAAAACTCACGTCTAATAGTAAAAGTAAAAGTTCAAGTTTGTAATATGCCTTTAAAAAGTTTGTAGCACAAAAGAAATGCATTAGAGCAATTTGTGGAATTCCTCCGGATGAACCATGCAGACTCTTGTTTCAGAGCCTTGGTTTGTTGCCACTACCATCATTATATATATACGAAATTTGTATCTTTGTACGAAAACACACATATTTGTTTAAGAAAGCCTGTGATGTGAATACCAGACTCAGCAGAAACTCGAATAGACTTGTACTTGACACTATTCCTATGACTGCTAAATACAGCAAAAATTGTTTAAAAATGTGTGTTGACAAAGTCGATGGTTGACATATATAACAAACTACCACTTGAGATTAAACTATTACGCTTAAGTTTATTTTTAAAAAAATCTGTACAAGTGGTTAAACAAAAATAATTTTTATGACCTAAACGAAATATTTGACAGGAAATGAGATGTAAGACTTTATCTTGAAGATTATGATTATTGACCAAATTAATTTGTAACTTAACATGTTTGTGACATTTTTGTATTTTTGTGTTGTGGTAGTCTGATTGACATGATATAACTAGACATTTGCATGCTATTTAATATATGCGGAACATGTTTGTACTGGCACTGTTACTTGTAACATCTTCTATTATACCATATTTTAAGCAAATAAACGAATTATTATTATTATTATCATAAAAAAAGAAAAACATATGATAAAAAACATGATAAATCTGTCATAGATTTCTCATAGATGGCGCTACGACTAAAAAGTCGTTGAAAGACCAAGTACAAAGACGCGACGCAAGCACATAGAAGAATTCGTGAGATGCGTTGGTTCGTTCCGTGGCTTAGTTGGTATAGCGTCTGACACGGTATGCAAGAAGACGTCGGTTCGAATCCGACCGGATCGAAGGAATTTTTTCTGAGTGTTCGATCTTTGTATTAATAATTATAATAAACTAGTGGAGTAATTTCACAAAAAATAATTGAATATCAATTCAATAAAAGTTTAATTAAAAGAAAAACAGTTGAAAAGAAAGATTTTAGATTTTTGACTGCTAAACAACATTTCATTTACATTTAGTCTCTACATACTTCTTTCATCTTACTACATCGACAAGCTTATTCCGTTTTTATGTTTTAATTTCCTACTAATACAGGCTTGTCGAGAGGTTCAAGGTTGATCTTGTCTTCTTAGGTAAAGAAAACTTGGATTGAAAAAGATTTTTTTAAATTTATTATAGTTAAATTCAATCAATTTCATAATGTTACAATTTTAAAATTTTCAGCCGTTTCAGCTTTGTCGCAAAATGACACGTTTTCAATAAATGCTTGCTTTTTTAAAAAAAGTATTGTTGTTTAGGTTTCAAAAATACTTCACTTTACTTCTACTGAACGCACCATAAAACTGCTAAAAAACGCGCGCTCCGCCACCAAGCAAATAGCGCTAGCATCTGATCCGTTGGCAACATTGTAAACTTCCGATTAAAGTTCTGTTATAAAAGTTACGGAAGCAGATGTGGAACTTGATCACTAATTTGCACCTTAATAATGGGAAAGTAGAGATGAATATGCTATAGACAAAAAACATGACGCGTCGCGAAGCTTCGACTCTGCGCCAGTGTGAGTTGCGCCTAAGGATGGTAAACTAGGGCACGAATGACGTTTGAGGTTTTTTTAGTAGGTACTTTATACTGAGATTATTATTATTCAAGTTAGGCAGTAGCGTTTCCCTGTATATTTACATGCCATGTAATACGTATACGGAGATGGTGAACCCCATTTGTCAAGGTCTGCCCTTATTGCCTAATAAACTATAAAATCAAGCTTACTTTTATGGTAATAGAGCTCATTTCCCTTTATTCTAGGTATACATTCTGATGACAACGCAGTATCACAAACCAAGGGTATAACCGTCATAGGGCTTTTTAGTCAGAATGATATTTATAGTGAAATAAAAGTTATGGCTAGGTTTTTTTTGGGATAACAATAACTCAGTACAGAGTACTAAAAAACCGACCACAAAAGTACGTGGAATTACGTCTATTTGCTAAGTTTCATTGAAATATCCCCTAGTTCGCCACTATACAGGACTTGATACTGGAGATAATAAAAATAGGTTCTCACTACGACACTACTCAAAGTATATCGAGGGAAAAACGCCTTGAATTGGAGAAATAGCAAAATCAACTAAATAACTGCTAAAAGTAATTGCTCCTAAATTTAAGGTAGGCGTTATTTATAAAAATGAATCTTCATGCGTGAACAGCCACCCTTAGAGGTGGATGATTTCCTTCAAAATGAAATGGGACCACTATGGAAGTACCCCCTTTCCAACAAAAAAATATCATGAAAATCGGTTCACAAATACCGGAGTTATCGCGTAACATACGTACAAAAAAAAAAAACAAAAAAAACATACAGTCGAATTGAGAACGTCCTCCTTTTTTGAAGTCGGTTAAAAAAACTGTATTTTGTAACAGTGGAGCTCCTAGTGAAACATTTCGTCCAGGGAAGTATTGCCACCTTACTTATTTTTGCCGCCAAGCAGTAATGTGAGTACAGCTGTACTATGTTTCTGTTTTGAAGGGTAAAGGTGCTGGTAAAATTACAGGAAAAAGGGATTTATTAACTTATGCCTCAGGGTGACGGGCGTAGTGGCAGTGCTCCTTAGATCTTTGCGATTTAAAGGCTGATTCATGTTACACCCTGTCGTGAGCCGGCCTATAATATCTTTGTGTATGCTTTTGTATGAACTTCATTTAAGACCGGGCCGAATCAAGTATTTTTGCACGGTTATGAATGCATTTGCCGAACACCCGACGACTAGTCAATGTTGGACTATAGTATAATGGACAGCGAAAGCGCAAAATGCTCTCATCAAAATCATCGATTACATCTTTGTAGAGCGTGGCAAATCCTTCGGATTCTCTTTTTTTCCAGGCAGAATGTACACAGTGTGTACTACACACCATCTTCCTTTTCTAGTTTCAATTAGTATTTCCAATACTTCGTCATCAAAAGCTATAACTCAAGTTGTGAAAATTATATTCTCAAGAGAAAAATAACAAAAAACAAAACCGACGAAAAAACCGAAGCACGACACAGCACGGTGACGGCCCGAACTCAACACGGTGTAACGTGAATCACTGAAAGGCTGACCCGGCCGTCGCACGGTGGAAATGACACGGTATTGTGTCGTTGCAACTGCTGTCTCGTCTATTGTTGTCGTAACAAAAAGAGAGATTTATAATCACAAATAGTATTAGATAAATGATTTAACAATTATTATTCTCTCTCTCTCTCTCTCTGTTATTCGGCGTCTCCCTATGTAGAATGCTTGTAGTAGAATTAAACATTTTTTCAAATAAATATCCGTGCAGCCAATGAAAATTTAAACACTGATGTAGCTGTGAAACTGAACAGGAAACAAAATACCCAACACCCACGCCACCTATACCAATTCAGCAAACAGACACGCCCATGTAAAACTGGAGTAAGTCAACACCGCTCAGACCGTATAGCCTTTAGTGACCTAATTTTAAGCATTGTTAGCGTTGTAGACATTTATTTCGCTAGCTTAAGCTTATTAACTATCTACTAACTCTAGCCTATTAGCAATCTGAACGCCAATCCCTGAACGCTATATTCCCTTTCACCTTTTCAAGGC